ATTGCCTGTTGGTTTAAACTGAATATGAAACCTTTGAATAACAGGTATGGACAAATAAGAGTGTTCCGTGTTAAAAACCAGGATCAATCTGGTCCGTGTTAAAAACCGGATAAATAAAAAATGAAATGCTGTTGATGGGTGTCGAACCCAAGCCATAAATTGGGCTTGTAAACTGCCTTCCGCTGGACTACAATCAACATTCTTTGTTCAATTGTGTACGCTTATTAATATGAATCACGGAAACAATTTGCTTGCCATTAACCTATTTGTCCAAGCTGATTAACGAGCTCAACATATTGTGTACATTTGTGGGCCAAAAGCTGCAACCATTGGGTCAGAAGGCCCAAATCATCCTTCCGGCCTGTCTTTTTTAGGCCGCATTCAATTTACCTAAGCCCTGCTCTTGCCTCCCTCGACAACACAGACATCGTTCCAGATCTTCGCTGGCATCCACGGTAAAAACTGCCCCTTTCGACCACGGTGAAAACCCTAGCACCAAGGTATGCCACTATCTGGTTCTAAGCACGCCACTCAGTAGAAAACATCACATTCCTCTGATAAAGATTACTACGATCTCAGCGGACCCACGAACTATGGCAGTTTTCCGCCGAGACAACCCAGTCGCCTCGCGGGATTACGAGGACCCCACCGATCCCCAAGGTTCGATGTTTGTGTTTCTGTAGGTCTAAATTGCTACTGGATTTGATTGCTTCGCAAAACCTTACAATAAATGGTAACTCCACTTAGTGTGTTTCTTGTCTCTATTGTAGATCCCATTTGTGCTTCGATGACGTTTCGAGGTTTGCGGTTGGGAACCAATAACCGTACTGTGATAGCTTGGCTTCTAAAAACGTGGATAGAAGTCATTGACGGAAAGGTTTGGAAAACGCCAGCATTGCGCATGCTTTGGATGGACAAAAAGGTTTGTTTACGATTTCCCAGCAAAAAAAACACCAGCTGCTTATCTATAACTTTCTTTTACACCTGCTAATCCCGCAGAAACGAGTTATTGAAGCTCTGGCATATGAAAAGGACATTGATGACGTGATGGCGAGGATCAAAGTTGGTCGTCTGTATCGCCTAAGCATTATCGTTACAATCCCCTCGAGTAAGAACAAACGCATTGTCCCAGGAGAACTGCGGCTGCTCATGAACTCTGACCAACTGATTGACAACATCGAAGAAGACCAGAACAATCCTAAGTTTCCCCTCGACTCATTCCTGAACTCTCATTTCTCAGTGGTCCCTGCAAAGTTTGAAAGTTTCCACTGCCACGCAGGTAAAACAATGTACATTACTTTCACGACCAACACACACTAAAAATCCCATAACATCTATGCAATTACAGATGTCACAGGCTGCGTACGGCGAATCACATTACCAAAGGCCCTCCAAGATGGCATGCTTGATTTCCATCTGGTTATTGAAGACTACAGGTATACTAAACTATGTACCTAAGATCGTTAAAACTTTCGACAGCGAATAATTTATATTTTGTTTGCTTCAAAACAGTGGGAACAAGGCTATTGTGAAGTACTGTGGCTACGATGTCGTTGGTTACCTCCAACAAGCAGCAGATGTAGAGTCGCACCTCCCGCTGATAACCACAGTTACATCGGTAGTCTCCGTGCCCCATGCATACAACGATGATGGTATATATGAGCTGGAATCGACACAAGCAGTCGTCTGATTATCAGTTCATACAATGAGACCACTTAAAGAGTCATGAACAGGTATTGATTTCCTAACAATCTCTAAGACAATTTGTTCACTTCAAATATGCTTTCATTGCAACAACTTAGCCTAACATAGACATCTATTTGCAAAACTCAGGTTTCTGCCATGCCGCAAACCGATCAAGTACATAATCTATGGAACAGCTGAAAGGATGGGATACTTACGCTACCCTCGCCCCCCAAGAAGAACACTTGCTCAGATAAAAGAAGACTTGAGTTCAATACCACAACATCGTGAGGTATATTATGATGCTTTGTAAAATCCCAACATTCAAATATGTTTCACTTGCTATTGTCGTGCACTCTAACCTGGCAAAAACAATTTTTATATTTCAGACCCTCTACCGAACCATAATCAAGTTCACTCATGTCAAATGCAAAAACGACATTTGCAGAACCACTCGGGAAACGCCAAGGTGAGATTAAATATTTAAATTGACCGGTTTGCACTTTTGGCAAGGAACGCTTGCATTATTCTCAACAAAGCTAACGAGCTTCTATTATAACCAGACTACATTACCAAATCGAGGCAGGGTGCAAATCTGAATCATCCGAGGCCGATGTTGTACTCAACCACGAGGCAGCTCTGTCAATACTCTGCATGCTGCCGGCAAAGTATCTCAAACTCAACGAAGATGAAATAAAAGACATCACCAAGAAAAACTGCGAGAAGACCTTCGCAGCAGAACTGTACATTACATGGCCAAACCCAGGTCAGAGCATCGTGCCGCACATCAGGGTTGCCACACTTTGGGATCGCTATGCTTTCGACGATTGAACATCAACTTCGACCAGCTCCATTTTGAATCAGGAAAACTGCTACTGATTGACCGCCTTTTGCTGTTTCTACCTAAGACTTGACATAATTGACAACACTTTTGGTCCAGCCTTTTGTGATGTACATGCCGTTCACTGAACATGATGCACATATTTTGTAGATCTTTGTTGATCTGTTTATTTCGCAGCAACAACTACCACCTGGCTTAATCAGGTAGTTCAGTCAAACTGTGAATCTATTGTGAATGCTTAGGACACATTTTTGGAATTACTTTTGCATATGTACCTATATTTAGTGTTAGACAATATTGATATGCAGATGTCCTTAATGGAATAAGTTGCAAGGGGAAAAACACAGATTCTGAGACGAAAATTGGTGTCCAAAAATAAAAAACATCCCGCAGCGCGGGCTAATTTTATTTTATTTTGTCATAGAAACCCTTGAAGATTAACTAGGTAAGCACGAGAGAGCCACAATACAACGGCTTCTTCGTGAAATGATAGTCAAAGCAAATAATAACAATTAAAGCGAACATTACAAGAGCCAGAGTAGCATAAGGCATTACGTGCCACAACATGGGCAGCCCGATTCGCTTCTCTAGGAGTAAAAGCAACAGAAACCAATGGCAATTCTTGCAACATAAAGATGACCTCTCGTAAGATAGCCCCCACAAGGGCATCATTGGCATCAGAAGCCTTCAAATGTTGTACAAGTGCAATAACTTAAAACCAAAAATGAAATGGTGCTGGTGGGTTTCGAACCCAAGCCAAAAATTGGGCTTGCAAACTGCCATCCGCTGGACTGCAATCAACATTCTTTGTTCAATTGTGTACGCTTATTAATATGAATCATCCCGCAGCGAAGCGCGGGCTTATTCCTAGTAGTAATAACTTAAAACCAAAACTGAAATGCTGCTGATGGGTGTCAAACCCAAGCCATAAATTGGCCTTGCAAACTGCCATCCGCTGGACTACAATCAACATTCTTTGTTCAATTGTGTACGCTTATTAATATGAATCACGAAAACAATTTGCTTGCCACTTAACCAACAAAAACCTATTTGTCCAAGTTGATTAACGAGCTCTACATATTGTGTACATTTGAGGGCCAAAAGCAGCAACCATTGGGCCAGAAGGCAACCAAACTAGCATCCCAAGTCAATTAATCACTTATTGAAAGTCTTCTGGACTTATTTTGTTCATGAAAACCAGCCATTATTATATAGCTGTAGTGAAGTGTGATGTTTATTTTCAAGCTATGTGGTAGAATTGTTGCTTCCTACGTTGGACTATATTGTTCAGCTTGTAAAACTAACGATTCTAGCTAGCTAGGTATATATTTTGACATTTTTTGCAATCATTCGTTCCTATTGATAGATGTTTATATTTAAGCACCTTCGTATTTTTATTTTCAAGTTCGCTCTCTGTTATTAATTTTCAAGTTCGCTCTTTCTTATGAATCACGAATACTAATTTTTGATTGTTTGTGGCATGTAGTGTAGTATGAAGCAACAAACAACCCATAAGGAAGCAACAATTCATTAAGAAGAGCAGGACCCGTACAAAATAACATTGTGTTCACACACTTAGTACACTTGGATAACAAGAGAAATGGCATTAAGGCCGACACTAAGCAAATTTAGTAGATTCTATTGACATTGCTGTAATGGTATTCAGTTTCCACGAGGAAAGAATAGTTTGACCAATAACAGCTCAAAATACCCATGGTTCCAAGGACCCAATGTGACCATAAACTCATAAGAGTTTCAACCAAGCAAGTTGACAAGGGTAACGAAATCGGCATTGGCCATGTCTTCATCACTTACTACATCTGAAAGGATTTTGCGTAAGTTTGCCGATGGGAAAACAACCTCAACATCCAAATAGTCATCCTCAATAACTAAGTGGATCAAATGAACTCTAGATGCAGCACACCATGATGTCCTCAACTCGGTGACACGTCCGGAGAAGAGGTAAGAAGTGCCCTGGTGTTTAAAACAAGAAATGGATTTTAAAAAAAAAATTAACAATCATTAACAAACTGAAAAAGTGCAAACGAGAGCGAGAAGGATGAATGACAAAAAAATTTATTTCAATAACCTCAACGTCACCATTCTCTTGCAACAATATAAGACTGAGTGATTCCGTAAATTCAGACATAGCTACTGCTTCCTCATACCGCAGCTTTGCAACGAAACCAAGCTCAACCATAAAATCCCTACAAATAAAACCGTTACTAATGTCTGACCATACAAAAAGGAAGCGGAGTAGACAGTCTACGGATTAGTTGGTAAACAATACTTACGGGTACCATTGAGATACACGATCCATTGTAAGAAAATTACACCTACGAGTATAACAACACATTACGTCAGATACTCTAATCCACCGTACCAAATAGTTAAAAAGCATTTACAAAAAAGTACCTGCGGCGGTGGAAACGTGGTCGGCGACAACTCGTTGTTAGTCCGGGAAGGAAGGAAGACGACGATTGGAATTCCTTTTTTCCACAGGATTTTCCTTCACCTGCTCTTCTGTCAACAGACGACAACCCTACCCTTGCTGCTCTATCCCTAACTTTCTCCTGCCTTTCGTCCTGGGAAATTTCTGCCGCTCTTCTTCCCACAACCCCTCGAGTGAATCAGCGGCGGCGGTGGCAGGCGACGATGGTGGCTCGGATGTGGAGACCGGTATTGAGCGACTGCCGACCAGCGGTGGATTGACTGGCGGAGGCGGAGGCGGAGGGGGAGGCTTGCATGCAAGGGAGGCGGAAGCGAAGGAAGGAGGAGGGCGGTTAAGTTTTCTTTCTCAAGGAAAACAGAGAAGCCTGCGCATGGGGGGAAGAAAAAAGCAGGGATATGGATCGATTGCTTGATTTTGTAGGCTAGTCTTTCAGTTTTTCAACTTTGCCATAATTGATCTGTGTTCGGAGAATAAAAATAATGCCCAAACAGAGTTGTGCCGGCGATCTGCTATTGCTAAGGGCCTTATTGGGCCTGGTACAAAAGGCATGTTCGAATTCATGTGAGGCCTTTTTAATGGCCAAAAAATACGAGGCCTTTTTAATCAATCGATCGGATTATTTAGACAACAAATAATCCGAATCGATAGTGAACAAATAATTAGGATCTCAAAACAACCTATGGTACTTTAGCTGTCTAGCGAATTTCACTAATCATCTAGAATGACAATGAACAATTATTCCACGTGATAGGATCCTCTCCGACAAAAATCTCATAAGATCTTCCTTGATCTATCAAGACCTCATCGTGACTTGGCCATAGGTATCGATGTCATGATAGTGCCTGATATAAATATATTTATAAGGAACAAGACATTCTACCTCAACCGACAAACTTCTATCAATGTAAAACTTCTATCAATGTCAAGTCTCACTTTTCAACTATAATGTTATATACTATGTTACATGCGTCTTAGTATATGAAATCGTTTACGCTACAAATTTTTTTAAAGCAACACTGCGTCTCTTTTACAATAACAACCAATCCATTTTACACGCATCAGTGTCAAGGCAGAATATTGAACCATTCGGAACATGGAGCTTTCACGTTTATAAGTTTGTCAAGGCAGAATTTCAAACTTAGTTACTAGACTGCGCTACAAATGCCCTTTCACGTGGTTTAGCAAAGGTTTGTTTTGGGATGTACTAGTCCATTGTACTAGTTTTGGGTTAACGCAAAGTTGCAAGGTGGAGGTGGGCACAACGATGGTGTGTGACAAAAATGACATGTCGTGTAGAATTACTATTTATGAATAGTTGTAAAATAACATTCTAAATAGAAAAATGAAATTTTTTCCAAAAAATTGACTAGCAAGGAGAGGGTAATCAACTATGAACAAGTGATTTTAAAGAAGAAACATAAAACCGCTAATAATTATAAAAAAAAACTAAATATAATGGTTGAAACTAGTATTCGAACCCTACACCTATTCTAGCAAACTTAATAGTAAACTACTAGCTTAACCACTAAGTTGCCAACGTTTCTTGTTTTGTATGCTAAGTTTATGGAAACTATAAGTGTGATGATGTTAGCCCACATTCCATCTCGTGAGTGGTTGAGAAACGATTAGAAGCTTCACTTCGATCGTCTTCTTCCTGTTCGTATTTCAAATTTCAGTTCTTTTTTTTCAAATTCAAACTTCAGTTTTCTGCTCCACATAAATCCCCAAAATTTCCATAATAGCATACTGATACAACATGGTCCTGTTATTGATTTTGAGGGTATGGCATATCTAGTTTTAAAACAAATATGTGCGATAAACAAAATTCGCAGAACTTGACCCAGGAAGGTTTGACATCATCAATGAAAGAACATTGAGGCGCCGCCGTTGATCTGTTAGTGATGGAACTTGGAAGCGAGGCTAATGGCGTCGGGGTCATCAAAGACCATTTGTGTCGTCGTGGGAGGACTCTCCGGTGGGGAGGTCACCCCTTTTTCTTTCGACGAAGGTCTCTGCAACTCGTTCGAGAAGCCATAACGCCAATCGCCAGAAAAAGCGAGCAGAGGAGAACCCTTCCTTCTTCTTCTGGTTGCAAGGATTCGAAATTCCTTCCGCAAGGAGAGTCTAAGTTGTTGGTGAGCGATGAATTTGGGGCCGACAAGGGAGATTAGAAAGGGTAGGGAGAGGGGTAGCGCGTCTAGCGGCGGAGGATGGAGGAACAGGGGAATAGGATAGGGCATTAAGGTAGCGGCGTGTAGCAGCGGAGAAGAGAGGGTCGGGATGGGGGGAACGAAGTGCTGGTAGGGTTGGATGGGGTAGGTACCCTTTATGTTTTGGGGTGGTTGAATTTGGGTTCAATCAAAATATTGAAAAAACCCAACCCAACTCAAACTACCCAACCCACGGACATAGAGGACTAAAATGAAAGAAAAACTAATTCTATGAGTCTTCCTGTAATTTTATTTAATATAAATTCTGAAAAAACAAATCATTTAATAAAATCGTCGAGATCACACGTACGGTTAAAATCGTCAAGGTACGCCATACCCCGGATTTTACCTGGGGTACGATAGAGCTCGCCATATATATGGTGTATGTTAGCCTTTGCCATATATATATATATGTAGTGAGCTTTATTAATAAGGTGAAGCGGTTACACTATCCAGCTGAAACTGATTAACAAGATATATCGATGGTCTATCAACCCAAACCCTCCTTTCGTTGCATCTCGACACATAACATGAGTGGCTTCGTTTGATTCCCTACCAATATGATGCCATTTACCATCTCCTATACTCTTTAGATAGCGTCTGATGCTCCTATAAAGGACCCCCATCTCATCTTGTATATCATCCGGGTTATGCAAATTGTGGACCAAAATTTGGCAATCCGTCTCTACTATCACGTTTTGGAAATGGCTTTGAAAGGCCAGTTGCACCCTAAACTCTGCCGCTAACGCTTCCGCTTCCTCAACCTTCTATAGACCTGGAATTTTTGTCACTGTCGCAAGAAGGAATCGTCTACTCGAATGCCTTATATCAACACCAAGCCACGCCCCTTACTCTCCTAGGATTCCAACATTAGTACAAATTAAAACACTGTCGGGGCTCGGTCGCTTCCAAACTTACCTTTCTCGGTTCGCATTTTGCTCCGCTTTCTGCACTTGGTGGGTTGATAGTCCTCCAACATGTAACGTGTCTGCACCGCTATCTCCTCTTCCGGTAACTTAGCCCCATTAAACAAATTGGTGTTTCTCTCCTTCCAGAGCAGGACACACACCTTCAAACTTCCTATCTTCATCTTGCTCCATCGCAATCTTTACCCAGTTATTGAAAGAATCATCAGCTTTCATCTAGAATAGTTCCTTAAACTCCGTCGCCTACAAATTCTTGACATCCATTTGCACTCACCAAAAATGTGGGTTTGGGTTTCACATTGATCACAAAACGGGCATCTATAGCTGCGACGCGGGTTCTGCTTGTTGACTTGGAAACCTGTAGGTAGGATTTCCCTCATGAAACGCCACATGAAATGACGAATCTTAGGTGGAATATTTAACCTCCATAACTTCTTCTAAACTTCTGGTTCCCCTTGTTCCACCACTCCATGCTTCATCATGAACTCCTCAATCCATAGCTTATAGCCTTCCTTAACAGAGTAGCTCTGTCTTGCTATTGTGCCACACCAGCGTTTTAACTTTGTCATTTCTACGCAACAAAATCTGTTTGATAGCCCGCACTACCGCCATGGGGAAACAACTCTCCAGCACCATCTCATCTCAGCAGTCCGCTTCCGGATCCATCATTTTCCTCACACTAGCGTCTACCGGAAGCCCCATTGGGGCCAAAGGCACAAACTGATTTGGAAGTCCCGGCACCCAAAGATCGCCCCACATTCCTACCTCCGTCCCACTCCCTATGTTAAGCAACTCTTGTGCGCTCAACAAACTATGCCACACAAAGCATGGGTGGTATCCCACAACTGCATCCAATATTGAAGTATTTTTGTGCTACTTTGCCTTTAGTATGCGAGCAATGAGAGAGTTAGGGCGTTGGATAAGATTCCACAACTGCTTCGCTAGGAGAGCTTTGTTGAAGCCCTTAAGATCCCGAAAACCCATGCCTCCTTCCTCTTTCGAACTTGCCATTTCCTCTCTTCGAAGTCCATGTGCTCTTGTTTCAGGAGCCCTCTATCCCCACCAGAAATTCATAACCATAGTATGCACTTCATCTAGAGTTCCTTCCGGTATCATGAACATTGACATAGCATAGCTAAATTGTGCCTGAGCCACCGATTTGATTAAAACTTCACGAGCTGCCACTGAGAGGGTTCTCTCCTTCCAACCGCTTAGCTTCTTCCTCATCCGCCCCTTAATGCCTTCGAATGACATCTTCTTCGAATGGTCAACATCCGTGGCTAGCCCTAAATATTTCTCGTGCTTTTTCACTCCCTTCATTACTAGGACTCCTCCAATCTTCTATGCGGCAGCGCATTAGAGCTAAAGGATACTTCCGATTTCTTGAAACTAACCAGCTACCTGGATTCTTTCTCGTAGTCTTTAAGAATTTTCTTTAACACCTTACTTTCTTCTACTGTTGACCTGACAAAAAAGATACAGTCGTCCATGGAAAACAGATGGGACACAACCGGTGCAGCATGTGCCGGCTGAATCCCATGAAGTCTTTTCGCTTGCACAACCAATGTTGTATATGCTGAAAATCCCTCCGCACACAGGAGAAATAGGTTCGGTGACAGCAGATCGCCTTGGCGGATCCCACGACTCGGCACTATCGTTGGGGATTGATGACCATTCACCAGGACTGAAAATATAATCGAACGCACACATAACAAGATCACTGTCACCCCCTTCTCATCAAAACCCATTCTCCTCATTACCCCTTCCAGAAAGTGCCACTCCACTCTGTCGTAAGCTTTTGCCATATCAGTCTTTGCAATAAAGAATCACCGACTTTTCTTCCCTTTATTCATTATGGTATGGAAACATTTGAAAGCCCCACTACGTTATCCGTGATGAAACGCCCAGGCACAATGCACTTTTCTAAGGAGAAATCACTTTATCCATGATATGATCCCAATTGGATCAATCAACAATTCAAAATTACTTGCCAAAGAAGTCATCTCAACTCACATGAAGAATTCTGATTTTTGGCTAAGTGTTGAAACAGTTTCAGGTAGCCTACTTTGGAAGCTTGTATCTCACAAATGGCTCAATCCAAATGGGAGATCAAGAGCTTGTTTTGAAGATAATGTTGTTATCTTTACATTGGTATGTTTTGGAGCTCAAGGAGATGTCTGGAAGGTCACTTTCAAAGCCCATCAAAAAGCTACCTCAATACAGGAAAACTGCCTAAATTTGGCTAAGGACGAAAACTGTTTTGAGATACCAACTTTGAAGGCCTATATCTGGAGATTGGAGCATGATATCGGGCTGATTCAAGTTGGAGGTGAAAGAAGAAGTTTTCTTCTACAAAGGAAAGGAATTAGTTGAGTTCGAATAAACCTAGAAGACCATTTTCGAAGGGCTCAAAGATGCTATGAAGGCTGTTTTCCTAGGCAGACTTGCTTGCGTTTTAAGTCAGTTTCATGGCCAGCAAGTTACCTTGTTTTGCACGAATTCTATAGCCTTTTTCTGTTCTAATTAGTTTCCTTGTTCATGTAGGGTTGTAGTAGGATTATTTGGCTATAAAAGCCTTTCTTTTGATTGTAAAAATAGAACACTTTTGATTAATCGAAAAACAAACCCTTTGGTTGTGTGCAAGTTGCGACTTGTTTGAGTTTGGTGGATTCCAAGCTTGTGAGCTTTGTATCGATTGAATATCATCTTCAATCGTGGTCGAGCAGCTACCCTTTTATACCATACGAGCTTTTCCCCATGTGTGGAATTGTCCGTTGGTTCCGTTTTATCCAAGTTCGTATTAAGAACGCTTCGTTCTTAATTCGAGCTCAATCGATTCTTTGATTGAGTCGTTTGCTGCGTTACTTTGGTAAAAATACACCCCCAGGGTCGTATTAATCCAACACTAATTTCAGCCTATTAGCCAGAACCTTTGCCACCAACGTGTAAAGTACATTACAAAGACTAATAGGTTGAAATTATTTGGGGGTTGAGTGGGTTCTTTACCTTTGGTATCCGAGCTAGAAGGGTATGATTCAGTGCCATCGACATTGTCGCATTATCAATAATCCCCTTTACTACATCCACAATATCATCGCCAATAATTTTCCAATATGATCGGAAAAAATCAGCGAAAAGTCCATCAGGACCCGGGGCCTTCCTGCGCCCCATCTGCTTTAGGGCTTTGTAAACTTCCTCTCTCTCCACTTCCCTACCGAGAATTTGATTATCCTCACTAGTCACCGATTTCCGAATGGCCTTCAGAACCGAACTATCGATCGGATCCTCTCCTTCAGTGAAGAGATCAGCAAAATAACTCATAAAGCAGTCAAAAAGCCTCTCAGTTCCAACATACCATTGCCCAGAGCCAGCCTTGAGCTTCCGAACAGTATTTTTCCTCCTCCAAGCAGTATCCTGTTTGTGAAAATAATTCGTGTTCGTATCTCTTATTTCAACCAGTCCGATCTTGATCTTTGTTTCCAGTAACTCTCTTCATTGTCTTTTAAATTTGCTAGTTCCTCTGCCAGCTTCCATTTTTGTTCCTAGGAGGCAGTCGTGAAATTCAGCAATGTCCCTCTCCTCCATATTTTGGCCCCCGCTTTTTTCCTCCACTGCTAGGATTTCGTTGAAATCCCCACCACACAACCAAGGGCCTTCCCATTGGGATGCTAGGTCTCGCATAAAATCCCATGTATTCTTTTTCCTGCCTACCTCCAGCCACCCATACAGACTCGTGAATCTCCATACAAACTCTCTATCATCAACTATTTTTGCATCAATGCAGCGGAGCGAGGCATATATTACCATGGCTGCAACCTCCTCTACCCACCAAAGACTCAAACCACCTGCTCGACCACCCCTTGAGGTATTATTCGACCAACAATCTCCAAATGGGTATCGCGTTGCCATCCAACCCTCTTCCCAACGTCTTTTGTCCACCTTCCTTCGCTCCCACTTTCTTCTTCTCATTGGTGGTTTTCTTCATTATATCACCCCCCCCCCCCCCTTTACCTGTTGTTCCATACGTTTAAAAGTGAATCTCTTCTCCTTTATAGGTGGCATGTTGTCTTAATTACTTTCCTCCCTCTCTGTTGTGTCCTCATTAATCTTTTCTCCCTGGCTAGGTTCCTGAAACTCCTCGTGCATGGGACTATTAACTTCCTTCCCCTGCTCATGCAGTACGTCAAAACGGTTGTTAGAGTGATGCACTTCTATTTCTCTGAATTTATGTCATGTTGGATTAGTTTGCTTCTCTTTTTCTTCACCATCATCTAGTCCCTGTAAGCACAACCATTTGATGGGTCCGCCGGCTGCATTTCAAGAACCGCTTCAACACTTTCCATCTCCACCTCAGTCCGCACCTACTTGCATTCACACAGTTCGATTCCATTCCCATACCTTCTGTATTCACCACATATGTTATCCAACCCCTCGTACTGAATTAAGTACTTGATTCCTTCTATCTTGTATTTCGAGAGTAGTGGTTTCGTGAGATCCACCTTCATACTAACTCTTGCAAATGGAGCCCTTGCCCCTAATTCTGTCGATCTCGCTCTATCCACCCTTACAGGCTTACCAATGCGTTCAACTATCCTCATTATAGCCTCTTTGTTCACAAACTCCACTGGTAATTCGGGGAGCTGAACCCAAACAATTTTCGATTTAGTTATCGTGGTCTAGGGATTAAGACCCTTAAACCAACGGTGGACCGTTAAATATGTATTGCCCAACATCCAAGGTCCACCTAACGATGCCAGTTCATAGTCCAAATGATTTTTAAACCGCACCAAAAAGCAACCGTTCTTGATATCCGTTGTCTAGATCTCGCCATGGCGAGCCCAAAGGTAGTTCAGTCTTCGAGAAAGGGGCAGAAAGTGGGCGCGTTGCCCTAATCCTTTTACAACCAGGACCTACCTCCATTCCCTCCTCCATCTGATTTTTTCTGCAACTATGTAGAGGATTGGTGGGCATTATGGATCAAACTCTTCTTCTGTAATCTCATTGTCCTCCTCTTTCTCGTTATTTGCCACATCTTCAGAATAAAAATCGGCAATATACTAGCCCTCATCATCCAGTTGGCTTTTGAATAGCCATTCTGCACTATTATACAACCCAGTCAATGCCTTCCCCACTTTGCCATCTGCTTGGGTGCCCCCAACGAGGTATCAATTTCCATTTCCGTAGCAAGTCCTTCCAATCCTACCTTCTCCTTCTCTAGGTCAAGAGGTCGAACGCGTTTCTTCAACTGAAAAATTTCCCTTTTGCTTTTGCCATTTAGCGAGGAAGAGACCGTAATCGGCCGGCGAATGCTACTTAGGGCCGCTGGTTTGTCTGTCGCGACCGGGGCGGTTGCTGACAGCACTGACGCCATCGCACTCGAAAGAAAACTCACGATTTCATAAAAACCTATGAAAAACTCGGAGCGCTAGGGTTTTGCAACTGAACTCACGTATTCTTATTTCTTGATTATGCTATAAATTATTACAAATCATGTACTAGCTATTTTCATCCAGAACCTTTTGCTTTTTCGAATGCTGAAATTAAAAATCCATGAAACTGAACTTTAGTTAAAACTCCATATAACAACCTTGTCATGGTACACGTATGCAAAATATAGTCATCGAGAAGGTAGTTTGTCCATCACCCATTTTGACATACAAGGTCTAGATGAAAAAGACATTCAACGTATCCATGATTCATGGTACATCGTTAAAATGATGAAAAAATGTGGAGTGAATTCCTACTATCCAACGCATATTTCGTTCTAATTTAAAGTGGTGGTGGTACTTTATTGTGTACCACCGAACCTGCCTTTCCTTTGTTGTCGTTGTCCTTGATTCGGGCATTCAAGCATCGTCTTCCTAATCAAATCAGGCTGCATTTCAAAATAGAAAATAAAAAACATTAGCATAGCAGTAGCTTCTTTAGCAATATATACACTATATATTTTTCATGCATCCTTACGTTTAGAACGCCAAAACCTTTTGTCGTTATTCCAATGCTTCTCACACTCATAAATGACATTTTCTTCTTAGTTGTTGGCTTCCTCCTACTGCTACTAGCGCCACCATTATCCTAAACAAACAAACAAACACAATATACATTTTTTCCATGATAATCATTTCAAACATAGATCCACAAATGGCGTTCAAGTAAGTCCCACATGAAAATCATTGGAACAATGGAATGGGTCTATAAATCCCAAACCACCGTTAACGAATAAAAAAAACACAACTAAAGAAATCATATGAAACTTACTTGGTTTTTTGAGGTACCAACATATGCAGCACCTGTTCTATCCCCACCATATCCCGGGAGAGTTCCATTCTCCTAGTCCATACATTTTACTAAATAAATAAACTAGTTATGATAAATGATTAGAATTGAAGAAAACGTAAAGTTATAGACTGTACATACCTGAGTTCACTTCGGTTTGAAACATGTGACCTAATTATGTACAGTTTTTGCACTCAATTACCCTCCCGTTTCTACCAAGCTTTGTTTCATCATTTTTATCACGAGCCAACAACTCTTTAGAAGTATACACATGATTCTTTCTTTGTCTCCTCTTGTCCTCCACTTCCTCGACACTTCTCACTCTCTTCTTCTTTGGTCTCCCGGGCATAATTCTAAAATCTAGTGGGAGGATGGCCTCATAGTCACTTCGTATCCATGTCCTTGGTCCATCCATGGGTTCCAACACGTTTTCATATGTGCTTCTTCACTTCATTGTTTTGAAGTATCCAGAGATGTACATTTCAGGCGTCTTTCCTTCAAATGCCAAACATGTGATGGCATGGGCACATGGGATCCCAGTTATCGCCCACACTCTGCAGGAACAACTCAAATTTGGTATTGAAACTGTAAACCTCTCATTATGATGTCGAACTTCATACTCATTCTTCCCATTATGAGTGATATGACAAGCATCACTTTCTTCTGCAATTTTCTCAAACTTGGCCAATATTTTGGGACAAAACTCTTAATACCACCCTGGGGGACGTATTTTTACCAAAGTCACGTAGCAAACAATCAATCTAAAAATTGATTGAATTCGAATCAAGAACAACGCGTTCTTAATACGAAATTGGGATAAAAATGAACCAATGGACAATTCCACACCTGGGGAAAGCTCGTATGGTATAAAAGGTTAGCTGCTCGACCACGATTGAAGAGAATATTCAATCGATACAAAGCTCACAAGCTTGGAATCCACCAAACTCAAACAAGTCGCAACTTGCACAAAACCAAAGGGTTTTTTTTCGATTAATCAACTCTTATGTTTTTACAACGTAAATAGAACGGTATTTAAAGGCAAATAAAACCTAATACAAACCTAATAGAACTAGGCAACAATTAAGGTAGAAGTCTACACTAAAAAGGACACAAAATTCGGGTTTAAACTCCCTTTCTTGAAGCACAAGTAAGCTGCCAGAAAAACAGTCAAAAGGCAACTTTTGTACTAACTTCACGCCTTTCGTTCGAGGCCTTCCAGAACTCCAATTCTTCATCCAATTCCTTACCTTTGTTCATAAACATACCTAGTTTCATGTTTGAGGAAGCCTTTTGACTTTAATCCCATCCATGCACCTTGAATTCAGCTCCAAAGTAGGCTTCACAAAACAGTTTTCTGCCTTAGCCATTTTCTGGCAGTTTTCAAGTTTTGAGGTAGCAACTTTGAGGCCTTGGAAAACAACTTTAATGACATCATCTGGATCCAAAAATCATACCATTGGAAACTTGGCAACTTTATCTATAAAACAAGCCCTTGATCTCCAATTTTCATTGAGCCATTTGTGATATACAAGCTTCCCAGGTAGGGTACCTGAAACTGTTTCAACATAGCCAAAAATCAGAATTGTTCAAGTGAGTTGAGATGACTTCTTTGCCAAGCAATTGTGAGTTGTGGATTGATCCAATTGGGATCATATCAGGCTCCCCCTCTTCAAAAACTTTTGACCTCAAAGCTTGAAGATGCTTCTTGTAAAAAAACATCACAAAATCCCTCCCAAATCGGATCACGAAATAGGTACCTCGAACTTGCAATTTCGAACTTCAACTCATCGTTAACTTGTGAATTTGCCGCTGTTTGCCACGATTTGAGCTTCATCCCATTCGTGAGGCTCCAATGGATCTTTCCCACACAAACAATTTGCTCAATCGAATCCAGAATACCAAATTTCGAATTTCCATATTCCTGCAAAAAAATCCCAGAATCCGGCGACTTTGTGTTTCCCGGCGAGGCCTCCAAATTTGGGCGTTTCTCTTCTAGGCCTCCACGAGCCAATTCATTACACACAATCAATCCGCATGGCTCCCAGGAGTCGTTTCCACCCATTATCAAGCTTCGATTCTGCCCGAATTGATACCAATCGCGTCGCCCGTGTTTCCCGCCATCGGGAATTTTGAAAATTCCAGAATCCGGCGAGGTAAACCCAGTTTCCGGCTGCCAATTCCAAGAAACCATCGAGCCAAAAGAAAATTGGGCATTTGAGAATCTGGCCAATTTTCTTCCAATTGACGACTCGCATAGCTTCCTTGAACCTCCCAGAACTTGCCCATGGTCTCGTTTTCGTTCAATTCGTGTCTAATCGATTCCTCCTTGTCTTCTCCAAACTTACGGCAGAAAAAATCATAATTGGGCGTTGTTTATTGGGACTTCGTCGGAGCAAATTGGATACTTCTACACGTTCCATGGATCTCGAAGAACGATTCTGCAGCGTTGAATTTTCTCGAATCGCGCTAGTTTGCTCTACCCTATAAAGGGTCCTCATCACCGTACTTGTCCATGAACAGAGGTGACTTTGGCAACATTGGTTTGGGATTTTCAGGTATGTCCTCTTCCATTGAAGCTACTGATGACGTTCCAGGGGTCGAGGGGATGGGTTCGACACTGATGGTTGGTTTTGAATGATCTCCAGACTCCTCATCCCATTCTCTCTCTCTCATGCTCTGTTCCATCGTCGAATAACAGGAGTTCCCTGTTGCAGAACTTGAACTCTTCTCTTTGGCAACAAGCTTGGGCTCGGGCCTCGCTTCTCCAGCTTCTGAAGAGAATCCTCGACTCGTCATCACTCTTTCATACCCTGGGGACTCAGTTGATTCCTCCTCATGACCGATTCCCCTTCGTCGGCGTCGATAGAGCTGGTGAAGTGAGTACTCTGCTTTGTCAGAGCAAAACAGGTAACAATTAAGGTAGAAGTCTACACTAAAAAGGACACAAAATTCGGGTTTAAACTCCCTTTCTTGAAGCACAAGTAAGCTGCCAGCAAAACAGTCAAAAGGCAGCTTTCGTACTAACTTCACGCCTTTCGTTCGAGGCCTTCCAGAACTCCAATTCTTCATCCAATTCCTTCCCTTTGTTCATAAACATACCTAGTTTCATGTTGAGGAAGCCTTTTGACTTAAATCCCATCAATGCTTATTGAATTGAGCTCCAAAGTAGGCTTCACAAAACAGTTTTCTGCCTTAGCCATTTTCTAGCAGTTTTCCAGTTTTGAGGTAGCAACTTTGAGGCCTTGGAAAACAACCTTAATGACATCATCTGGATACAAAAAGCATACCATTGGAAACATGGCAACTTTATCTATAAAACAAGCCCTTGATCCAATTGGGATCATATAAACTCTTTGTCCCATTATATGCTTATGCCTTCTTGGATGCGATGATTAACATCATCATAGTCCGAATATCATCCAACATGCTATAAATTGCCTTGTATCTAGCTTTGATTATCAATGCATTGAACGATTCCAACATGTTGTTGTCAACGGAATCACATTTCACCTTTGTTGAGAAGTATGCACGTGACCAATGTTTTTGATCAATTGAAACTAATGCTTTGACTGCTTCCTCATTGTGTTTTGAGAGCTTCTCATATGCTCGGCTGAAAAAGGATGGCGTTGAGGCCTTAGCACATTCCCAAAAAGTTGGTTGCCACTCTCTTTTTCTATACTTCTTCCTCCAAATACTCTAAATATGCCTAGCACATAGTCGATGGTCTGCATTGGGGAAAAGATCTGTTATTGCTGGCACAAGCCCCTGCAAGTTCGATTTCCAAAAAAAAGCTATATATAGTATACAAAAGGAAATGGTTGCTCTTTTACATGAAAAGCAAGGGGTTAATTGCAAGGTTGGTCACTAGGTTTACTAAAAACGCTCACGTTTGGTCACTACAAATATTTAATTCCATTGATAGTCACTAAGATTAGTTCAATAGTTCATGTTTAGTCACTCACCGTTAGTCTCCGTTAACTTTTGTTGATGTGGCAGTCAACCTTCATAGTTGACCGTTAAATTAGCGACGTGACTATTAAAAACTCATAAAAATAAAATTTAATCTATCAAAATTTCCACCTCACTTTCTTCTAATTGTCCGCCCTTTCTATTCTCCCCTTTCTTTTGGCACTCACTTGTACTTAATCTTTCCTTATCCTACGAGTGAGCAATGGTGTCCTTCTTCCTAATCTTCTTCTCCTACTCACTCACTCACACATCTTTCTCATGATCTCCCACGAAACCATAGCTACCATGTGGTGATGAAAGCTCCTTTATCCACTCAACCGTTCGATGATGTGATGCCTCTTGCTTTCCCTTCGTCGCTGCGGCCTCTTTTCCATTTCCTTTCCCACCGTCACATTTGATTTCGACGTCGACATCATCATTCCTGAATTCGTCGTCTTAATTTTGTTTTCCTCCTCCCCTTGAGCCCTACTTATCACGCCGGCGGTCATCCTGGTACTTCTTTTTGTTTCCCTTTACGACCACGATGCTTTCGTGGTTTAATGCCACCACTGAACCGCTCCGACAGTACAACCGCACTCGCCCAGTAGCCTCCTAGTAGAATAGGATCTATTCGTCTTTGCCAGCACCGAGAAAGGGTTTTTGTTGTCGGTCCCCTGTTTCTCGGCCTTGCTGCTGTCGGTGCTACTGTTGTGGCTGACCGAGCTTCTTGATCTAAGATCCTGGGATTTCATCTCCGGGGCGCTAACCATGCCCACTGGAGTTTTGGGGCTTTCTTCTCCCTTCCCCCAACTGGGTTTTTGTCGATGGGGAGTTGGTGAAAAGAAAGGGGGAGAAGAGAAAGGGGCGACCAATTAGTAGAAATTAGATTTTTAATTGATTCTTTAATGAGGTGAAAATTTTAATAGATTAAATTTTATTTTTCTTATGATTTTTTAACAGCCACGTCACTAATTTAACAGTCAACTATGAAGGTTGACTGCCACATCAGCAAAAGTTAATGGAGACTAACAGTGAGTTACCAAGCATGAACTATTGGATTAATCTTAGTGACTACGAATGGAATTAAATATTTGTAGTGACCAAACATGAGCATTTTTAGTAAACCCAGTGACCAACCTTGCAATTAACACTGAAAAGCAACAAAGAAAATTTACTAAAGCACTTTTTGTTATTGAACACCAAATGAAGCCTTACTTATGTATTTAATATATCTTGTCACACGTTATGGAAATAATTCCTACCAATACAACACTAGACATCCAATTACTCCGCTTTCAAAGAGCAACTAAAATGAAATTATACCTTCATTTGATCGGAACTGAAACACCAACTAGCTTCGCTATAGATGCACAAATCATCTCTCAACTCCTTGAGGAACCAACCCCATGAATTCCTCGACTCAACCTCAACAACTACCCAAGCAATAGGATACATTTGGTCATTTGTATCCCTTACGATTGCAGCAAGTAATTCACCCTTGCACAAACCCTTTAAAAAACAACCATCCAACGCAATCATCTTCCAACATCCTGTTAAAAAATGGAGGGGAGTTGGTCGATTGAAGAGGCAGAAGCGCTAGCGGCAGAATTTGGTGTTCAGATAGCTCTCCAGAACCATATTATGAATCCCATCCTGGAAGTGGATTGCCAGGCTCTAGTGAAGAAGATCCATGAAGCAGACTCTATTCACTCGGAAACAGGCACGATTTGCAGAAGCATTAAACGATACCTTAGTGTGATGGGAGAATGTTCATGGCAACATGTGAATCGCACGGGAAATGAAGCTGTGCATTTGATGGCACATGTGGAAACTCGATGGAATGAACGTATTGTTTGGGTAGATATACCCCCCGATGGTATTGCTTGACCAGTTACAGCTGGATAATGTAACAGCCTCCACTGGTTAAATAAAAGATCTACAGGTTTCAATAAAAAAAAACCCTTTCTTCATGGCACCAAAACAAATGTACAATCGTTGGAATTTCGGTTTACTTTCGGGGTTGTTTTTGTTGACCATGATACACACTATTGAGCCAACATTTGTTTTCTTGATCTCCTCAGCATAAGTCCACAAGATTGCATACTCATCTCTAAAGCATCCTTCAGTCAAGTGCAAAACTATTCTCTTTGCTCGTGAGCACTTATTTTTATATACACTAAACCCAAGTTCTTCTCTAACAGTCTCCATCATGTCCTTCAGCTTCCACCGTGGATCTGCTCTTATCCTCCTATGGTATTTCTTTGTAATCACAACTGGAGACACCTTCCTACACTTAAAATGCACCCCACATCTATGCATCTTCAGTGTTTTGATCTGGAAGACATTGGCTTGTTTACTCCATGAAACAAGAAGGGAAAATTGACAGTTAGGGTAGCTGCAAACCATTCTAAACCTTCTCGGATCACTCTTCTTAACCCTTAGATCTTTCTTGAATGCGAAATAATATTTGTTGATTGCTTCCCTAGCCTCATCCATCCCATCGAAGATCATGCCTACCTCGAAATAAGGAGTGACTAGATTTGGATTGTACTTAGGGAAACGACTCTTCCTATGCACCCCATGATCTACCAATCCATCTTCATTATTGCTTTCATCTTCGTTTCCAATTTCATCATAAACAAAAGCACCCTCCTCTTCTGCAATTTGTTTTTGTCTTCTCTCGACCTCATCATTAGAGTGATATGTTGTAGGTATCCCTCTCTTCAAATTTTCCTTGACGATCTTAAATTTTCTTTCAATTTCCTCGCGATCTTCTACATCCTCATTGTTAACCCACTCCGGGTGTGCCTCAAAGTCACTATCAGAGTCGCCATTTCATCATTAATCCACACACCCTCTTCAAATGTTGTTGTCATGCCATCAACTCCATTAGAATTTTCAGCAGCTAAACCCCTTCATCATGTGGAATTGATTCCACTGGCCTTCTTTTAGACCCGCCACCTTCATTTTCTTTAGCTCCATCCCTTACTTTGTTTACACCATTATTTACTTCATAGATTGAGCCTTCATTAGATACTGGGTTTTCAACCTGCTAAATCAAGAGTAAAGAACTTCAGTTTATGAATAAACATTTACTTTATATAACATTTGATTTCAACCTGCAAAATAATTAAGTTAATAAAAAAAACAAGTTACCTTTTCAGAAATAGATAATATGTCTCTAACGTACACATGATATTCATTCTTGCCTTTAAATTGCTCTAGAAACTCCCAAATAAATGTGTCATCGGATAGTTGTTTCCAGGCATCTGTCCCTTCACCATTATACTTCATGAGGTACATTTGAAAATCATCAATGTACTTTCCTTCATCTCTTAACATTTTGTTCAGGTCCCAAGTACTAATTAAGTCAGGATCTATGTTAGGATTAGACAATTCTTCTCCTCCTTCATATACTGTATCCTTGTCGATCTTCTTAAACCTTCCTCCGACGTGAAAGACAAATCTTGGATTGGTCATTCTGAGTCCTGGAACAAAATTCCGACTTTTAATTACCCAACAACCGCCAAACCACAATAAAGTATTGATACAAACAAAATTAAAACTGTGTGTGAAGAGCTGTTGCCTACTTCAATTTCGAGAAAAGGGTGGCCCCCAACACAAATTAAAGGAGTCTTTGTCCCAAGTTCTGATCATGGGGACTAGCCAAAAGAATCAATTTTATATTCAAGGTTTTGTTATGTCACGTGGGTACTATAAAAAGATAATTTTTGGTTGGCTTTTATAAGAATCAAAAGTTACGTTCTCCTCAAAGCAAGATGAACAAGTAGAATGTCGGGTCCGGATCCTGTGACTAAGGGGTGCTTAGTCACTTGACTAAGCTCTTCACAGCTCTTAGATCTGGACACAACAATCTGACGGTTAAAAAGTGGGAAGGGCTATTTAATTAATGACAGAGGTATTTTGGGTTTTACGGAAAATTACGAAGTATACAAACTGGACTTACAATAGTACAAACCATACAAACAGTACAAACTACAACGACAAAACATACAAACATATTTACAAATATTACAAACTTATGAACTATACAAACAATACAAACTAGACCGAAAAACAATACAAACCTTACAAAAAAGAAAAAACAACCGGGATGACTTTAGAGGCTCCATCCCTATATGGAGGGCTCCGTCCCAAAGTCAACCCGGTTTTTATTAGACATACAAACATTATGAACATGGTGGACAAATATGACAAACTAGACCGACAATCCATACAAACTGGAAAAAACACTCGGGTTGACTTTGGAGGCTCCATCCCTATAGAGAGGATTTACATCCAAAAGTCAACCAGATTGTTTTGGTTGACAAAAAGATAACACATGGTGTACAAAAATAACAAAGCTTACAAACATTACAAAAGAAACCGACAAACATTACAAAACAACAAAGCTAACCATACAAAATGTTACTAAAAATGACAAACAAGAATGATAAACAATACAAAGTGAATCAATACATGCATTACAAAATAGGTCAACAAACATCACAAATCCAGCAAAGTCGCCGAAAAATCCTTCTCCGTCGTCGCTGGCTGCCGAAAAGTGTCCTCCGACCAGGAAAATCTCTCTCTCTCTCTCTCTCTCTCTCTCTCTCTCTCTCTCTCTCTCTCTCTCTCTCTCTCTCTCTCTCTCTCTCTCTCTCTCTCTCTCTGGAGGGGGGAATTCCCCAGGAAAAAATATTGGCGCATGAGCTTGGAGGGGAGAATTCCCCTGGCCGGCAATTGCCCTGAAAACAACCGAGACGGGAGGCTGTGACTGGCCAGCGCCAGGGGACGGAGACGGAAATGCTGGCATAATTTTTTTTATTCATTTTATAATTAAAACTAAAAAATAAACATGCAATTACTACATTGCTCTTCATTAAATTGGATTAATTAGAGCCCTTAGATTTTAATGAGGTTGAGTAGCTGAGATTCACTTAGCCATGTGACTAAGAGACTCCCCTTAGTCACCTGATCTCAGCCCTACAACGTCGACTCTGTATATAAGCCTTCAGTTGGATTGACGGAAAAAGGACAGCTGGCGGTCCTCTGAATCGCTCATCGGAGTGCGTTTATTTATTAGTCGGTCTTCTGCTAGTGATTTGGAAAATCGAATTTCGGGTTTAGTAGACTATCTTGACCAGCCGTTGTGGCCAACGACGGCTAGCAAAGAGGTAGGGTTTGGAAGATGGAGGAGTCGAAGTTGAACAAGCCCGGAGTTGGATTCACAATGATGTCTCTCGAGTGGGGGAATGGAAAGGAGAGGGGTAAATTTGACCTTTCCAGTCCCATTTTATTGAGTTCGGACTAGTATGATCAGAGTTAATGGTACCCAAACGGAAATGTTCACGAAAGGACAAATTTAATATTGTAGTAGGAGGGCAAATTTGATGTAAAACATAGCAGAAGGGCATATTTGAGAAAAAACCATAGTAGAGGGGCAGTTTATACAATTAACCCTACATTTTTCCCTATACCTAGGGTCCTAACTCTATTGTTTTGACTTTTATGATGATTACCAAGAAAGAAGGATATATTTTTCTAATAATTTTTTGGGTGAGTACGAATTCAAACAAATAAAATAAAATAATAAAAAAAACATGCAACTAACATGTTATTCAGCATCCATTAAGGTCCCTAAATAATAATTAAGTTACAAGTTATTTCAAACAGAACTTAATATACAACTCATAAAAAGATTATCATTCTTTATATCACATTTCATCATCCTTATCTCACAAACCATCATTATGGTCAATATATAAGTTGTTCCTGCCTTGCTTCATATTTTTCATGTGAAATTGATGACCCGACAATTGTTTGACTAATTATCGAAATACCAAAATTATTAAAACATCTTATTACCATCAATGATATTGTATTATATTCAGTTACCTTAGTTACCTAATTACACCAATTTGTTTGGTTGAATTCTAAATCCAGCATTTGGTAAAGGAAAAAGTCATGAATGTAAGCAAACCCTAAAAGACATATTCATAGGATGGATTATTTTTCTTTTTCTAAATTTAGCTCTATTTTCATATATAAGAAGGGAAAAGGATGAATTTATGTTTTTGAAATAAAATAAATTGATAAATAAAACCTATATATAGTTTTTTTTTCTTTTAACAGAGCCTTGAAATGGATTTTTTGAATCCTATGAATGGATATTATTCGAAAACAATAAAAAAGGTAAAGAGGATAATATAATTTGGAAAATAATTACCTTGATAATTAGGAAAAAATATATTAATTACTGATCCATGCTAATAATCTGTCACGCATGGCATGTAATGCAACCGAATGAACACTTGGCAGTCATATTGTCTAACAGTAACAGTAGGACCCACGTCTCCCACTAACAGCAAGCACGCAGGGGCGGACCCAGGGAGTTTTAGGGATGTCCCCGGACACCTCTAAATTTCGAGAAAATGATTATCCAACCTCCGGTGGTAATTTGCGTATAGACAAAAAAATATAATTGATAGTGAGGGACACCCCCTGAAATTTGAAAAAATGATTATCCTACTGTCATTTGTGTATAAAAATATAAATGGTAGGTTGGGTAATTCAAATCTAGAACACTATTATTATTAATAAACTTAATTTCCGTTGAGCTACAACTCATTTGTTGTTCGATTTTGAACAATGTGTAATAGTAAAAAGTCATTCCCTATCTCTAATTATTTCAATCTAAACTAATTTCAATCTACCCTTAATTTGTATTGATTTTATGATTGTACGGCAAGTGTTGAAGAGTATTTCAGCTTTGGGTTACATCAAGAACAAGTTTACAAATCGAATATATGATAAGTTCCTGAATGATTGTCTAGTAGGGTATATAGAGAATTTTTTTAACACTATAAACACCAAGTGTATTCTACAATTATTTTCGAATATGAAAACACATCATGGACTATTTTAACCTGTACGAGTAAGGTATTTTCATATTTACGATTTTATTTTTATTAATTATTTTTCTATTTTATTTATTTTTTAAAAGAGGACACCCCTATAGAAAATTTCTGGGTTCGCCATTTCCTACACGTCGCAGAGCAGCCGCCGCATCACCGCTGGCGCCGGAGTCGGAGTTCCCCGGCAGGGCACTATTTTTTCCTCTGTCGTAGAAAACCTCGAAGTCCCCGTCTCTGTTTGTCAACAACCCAAAAACGGCCGGTCCCACTGAGACCCACGTGGCAAGCCCTAATTTCCAGCAAAAATAAAAACCAAAAAGTAATAATAAGGAAAATTACTTTCATTCTGCGGGATTTCTATTCTCTTTCCTCTATAAACTTGAAAACAAAACAGGATTTCGATTATTTTTCGTCTTATTTCCAGGTTTTAGTCCAACAAGGTCACGCACAACTGAGAGGTAAAGAGGCCCCTTCTCTCCTAACTCTCTCCCTCAGCCAGAGAAAAATTCCATTCTTCACTGTGTGCTTTGATTCTTTGGTTCTGCTGGCAAGTCATTTCAATTGAGTTGAAATGAAATGAATCCCTAGTTTCCACCCCTCTTCCTAAACAGCAATTGCCATTTCTTCTTAGTTTGGGGTGAATCGGTTCATCTGGTCCATGCATGTAGCCAAGTTCTGAACTTGGGGGGAGGGATTTGGTGATTTTCTTGCGCCTATGAAGCACCTTATATTTTCCTGAAATTTTTATTGATGTGGGTATGGTTTATTGGGTCTCAAGACTCCGAAAGTTCTGATTTTTTTTTGTTTTTACGCTGTAGTTTCTCACTTTCGAACGCGTTGGTACTTGTGGTTCTGTATGCTGCAGGTGCATGTTACAGTGGCTCTGGTTATGGTAGCAACTGCTAAGTTTTAGCGAGGTTAGCGTTTCTGTTTTAGTTATGGCTTCCGTTTATCGCCGATTTTTCAGTTTCTTATTGAACCCCTTGGTGGTTGATTCCCATTAATGGAATGATGTGATGATGTTATTCAATTATGGGCGCTTGTTCATGATTGTATATGATCCACTCTGTTCTGTTATATTTTTTGGAACAAGTCTTATTTGTTGTTTATCATTTCCTTTCTGTCGTGAATTGAATGCGCATTCAAACTTGAGAATCAACGCTCGGACCACCTGGCTTTAGGTATGGTGTGATGTTGGATTGTTCTGTTTGGGGCAGTTTATACCTGAAAATCGTGGCTCATTGACTGTAGTTTGGATTCGAGCTTTTAGCTGCGGTTTTAAGCTTCTTTGGTTGCCGTATCCCAACAATATACCCTTGCTTATGTTCAGCCTTCCCTTAACTTTGTTTTGCCTATGCACTATCTTGTTTCATTGTCTGTACGCGGGAAGTTAGTCTCTAAAGTTTTCTTTGGTCTACCTAAAGTCTTGAGAGGATATGCTATTACGGAAAATGGGCATGAGATGATCGGCTTGGTATAATGAATCCTAGCAATTGCAAATTGTTATTAGTCCTCCTGTGTGCAATAAATTAATAATGCATTTAGGACTTACTACCATGTTGTTCAGTAGATGCATTTAGGGGTTGATGTTTTATTAGTTAAGATCTAGGACCCTGCCTTGCCAAACATAGGCGTTGTAGATAGATATTCACCTCTTTTCAACAATGGAGATACTAAATAGATAGCAACTTTTCCTCCATATAGATTCCGTAGTGCTTTATCTTTTTCCCTTTTTCCCCATATCAAACATTCCGAACCAAGAATCTTAAAATCTACAGTCTTAATCACGCCTTATGTTGCCACGTTTTGGTCACAAGTGAATTATTTCTCTCGGTCAGTTCTTAGATTTCTTAGCATTTTAGGACTCAACTATTATAAACAAACATTTACTAGGATAGACTGGAGTAAGGGCGGATTTGGCTGTTTACCATTTGCGGAAGTACATTGATTGATTAAAAACCTTACTCTAACGATCTATGGGTGTTATGGATACTTCTTCCTTTCCTTTCTTTATGTCTGCAATGTTTTCCTGCATGTCATCATTCTAGCACTCTAATATTGCTGTCACACACTTGTTTCCTAATCGGTTCCTCCACTGCTAATTCTATTTGCCCCTTCAGGAAGAATAAATCCATCGGAAGGTAGTAAGGAAGTCTTGATATCAACATTATAGGCTCGACATGAGCGAGGCAACTGTAGTTTATATTAATAATCCAAATGCTTCTTCGGCAATTGTCCCCGTGAAACGTAGGCGTGGTCGTCCGCGCAAGCATCCTAAAGTGGATCATCTTGATCACAGTAGAACTTCCCATTCTAATTTTTCTTCTGGTGGAGGGGTCAACGGGAGTCATCAGCCCAATTCAGTGAATAATAATGACATTATGCTTGGTCAACCTGTCGTTGGTGTTATCGAAGCAGTGTTTGATGCTGGGTACTTGCTCAGTGTCAGGATTGGCAACTCAGGCACCAATTTGAAGGGTGTCGTGTTCAAACCCGGGCACTACATTCCTGTTTCAGCTGAGAACGACATTGCCCCTGATGTTCGAATGATACCAAGAAACGAGTTTCCTATTCCTAGAGAAGTTAATACACCTATCCGTCGCCGTCGTTATCGTACTAGAGAAAGGAATGGGACTTCTCGTGTGACCCCACGTGCGGTGGCCTCAAGTGGCAACCAGGTACTGCCTTTGATAACACAAACTGCTGCTTCCCCTGGGATCTCTAGAGGCAACGTGGTGCCTGTTGTGCTCCATCCTGTTACTACTGTGTCAAATGGGGTAGCAATCAACACCAGCGAGCCATCTTCGGTTGCTATGGCTCCTCATCTGATGACGGCTATCTCTAAGGGGAAGGGTGTTCCAAATGTAGCTGCTGATCCTTTATTAAGTGGACCGTCGTCGTTTGCACAACAGCTGGCAGAAGCTGAAAAGCAGGCTCAGACCAGTTTTGTATACAATAGTTCAACAACAACGAAGCCTCAGCATGATGCAGGAGGCAAGTGTACACAATCCGCAGCAGGTATGCATTTCGAGAAACTTTTATCTGACGTGATGATGAAGAGAGTTGAAATACCATCATCAGAATCGCCAGAAAATAATAGCAGCTTTCCTGGTACTTGTTTGTCTGTGAAAGGTTCGGGCCTTGCTATGGGAGATGACGAGGAAGAAGAAGACGAGTACCAAGAAGATGATGATGACGAAGATGATGAGGAGGATGACGATGACACAGATCAGCCTCTTACTGTTGAGCCCCTGCGGTCTATACAGCCCAATCTTAACAACCCACCTGCTGATGTCTCAGCCCAGCATATGGGGAGCTACATGACAGGCAAGATGACTGAGCTATTACAGGTATCAATCGAGTATTTGAAGCTGTCTATCTCGTGGTTCTTCTGCTGCATGTCAGTGAAACTATTTGGAACTTACTTTTCATAACTGATATTAATGATTTGCATGATTTCTTGCAAAGGTTGTGCAGAAGAACGTGATGGAAAACCAGGTAGTGCAGGCTGGGCAACCGAGTCAGTCTGGAACTGAGCAGGGAGTGAAAGCCGATGGTTTATAAAACTTCCCAGAAAACATTGCAACCCAAAACCATGGTTATCAAAAGAGGTTATGTGGCAGTAGCTAGTTGTTGCCATTAAATACAGACAGTCCTTGGATCTAAGAGTAGCCGATAGTGGTTTTAAGTTTCAACAACATATGAACTTGTGAGGCTGTAGAGAAACTGGATGTTCTTACTGTTTACAATCCTATATATGAAGAGAAGGGACGCATTTTCTTTGAGATTTGACAGATCTATGTGGTCCGCCTAGCAGAAGAAGTGCAAAAGCTTGCTGTTCCCTGTCTATCTACGGCCTCTATGGAGATGCTCTCTTGTTTTTTTATATCCGGCTGCAAGTTTTAGGATCCTCCTTATCACCCATACAATGTCATGAACTTAAACTGCATTGGCGTTTTGCGGATGACCTTCTCGCATCATAGGGTTGGATTCATCCTGTGGAGGTGCATGATGGTGATTTGATTCGTTCTTCAACTGTTGTACATGGTTTATGGGCAAAGGTTTACCCCGGCAACCTTACAGAGCATCATGCGCCAGTTTTAAATTCGATTCTTTTCCTATACGATATTTGAGAGTGTGATTACGGGCAAATTGAGAGTCAGGATTGTGACATTCTTATACCCATGATTGCATAACAGGTCTGATACAGAGGTGGAAGGTTAAGAGCTACAAAAAGAAGAAACCAACTTTGCATTTCTTGTATAACGGTACATTGTCAAGAATTCTAACAAAATTGATTCCACGACCAAAATGGCCGAGATCTCCAAATGCAGAGAAAAGTGCATTTCTTTTTCCCCCTCTCTTTTTTACCTTTGTCCCTTTTCCAGTTGATGGTTCACAATTTGCAAAAATGGGAAAATCTTGGGCTACCTATGAACTGTATAGACTTAACCAACGGATCAAAAATTTTAATTGCCTGCTGCAAAGAAAGAATGGGAAAGGCAGTGGATGAATATTCAGGGGAACTTGGTGCCAAAGAGAGCGTTGGATGATGGAACATGAATGGGACGATTTGCATGGATTGGAGGCGGCAAGAGTGGGATGTGGCCTGGCATTGTAAATGGTTGCTGTCCACCACCACCCACAAATTGAGGCGACATACAGATTGGCACCACCGATTCCTGCATTTCACAAAATGGGATATCCGACGAGCATAAGAACCCCGAGCCATACAACCCAACAGAGTAAAAAAACCGAATCATTCCTATCAACTTCATTTGATCAGTCATAAACACTGGTGTTCAAAATATCAACTTGCAGATATCCATACCTTGGTGCTTAGGATATGGAACCTGGTGAGGACCAATCAAGGGTCGCACTGCCATCTTTGCTCTGAAGTAAATCCTTTTTTAACATGAAAACAGTGAGAACTAAATGCAAATGTTCTGGGATAGTGGTAGGGTGAGGATACATCAAGAAGCTATAAACGGAATCCTCGACTAATGTAAATTTAAGTTAAAGAACCAATAAAATAAGTACATAATCTCTTTCAACATATGCAGGGTGTTGAAAGGACACATTGCTAAGTAACCTCATGGGTTGCATGTTTTAGACCACATATTTCACAGAACACATGTTAATAGGATAGGAAGCTTCCATGTAGAGGTGCCAAATGGGTTGGGTTTAAATGAAAACATGGGCATATGATATGCGTTGAGTATACATGGGTTAGCGACTTGGTGTGTTGCTGGCATTCTCTTAAAATTTTGATGTAGTTTGGGGGGTGTATTTCGTTCATCGGTCAGGTCTAAGGGCTGTTGGTTACAGTTTTGGATGTTTTGAGTACTACCATTATGAAGTGACGGAGGCAGTTAGTTGGTCAATAGCTAAAAAAAGGGAACCATATTGTAACTCTTTGTTATCAAGACTGAATTGGCAGGATCAAGGTTGTCAACCCGCGGGTTGACCCACTTTGACCCTGACCCGGTGAGAAAAATGGGCCGCACGCACTCGCCGGCTCGACCGCCACAAGGTACCGGGTTGGAGGTCAAATTGTGTCATTTTTTTCTTTGTTTTGCGAAATGCGCCTATTTTCCGATTTTTCTTTTCGCCTAACTCAATCTTTGGAATCCTAAGTTGAACATTTGAATATTAATGGTATATAAGTGTGTGTGTGAATTTTCACTATATGTTGCATCTAAGTACGAAATGTTATTTTGGTGTAATATTATATGTTATAACTCATATGTTAGATGAGATTTGATATAATTTATCAGGATAAGTACAATATAATGACGCTTTGCATATTTCTAGGCTAAACCGGGATAAAATGGGTGACCCATTAACCCTTGACCCACTAGCTCAACCGGGTCCGGGTCAACCCGCGGGTTGACAACCTTGGGCAGGATAAAATTGTACATTTTTATAGGATCAGGGCTTCCATGTCTTTGTCTTGGGTCATGCACCTAAATTCAGCATGATAGCACAGAAGGGAGCTAAAGCACATCACCAAACTGATATGTCCAATTTGACACCACCAACAACCAGAATCTAGTAGGCGGATGCACCAATTTACCTCACGATGTATTATCCTATGAGTCATATGAGCTAGATAGCCGTACTACAAAACATGCTCATACAAGCTTATTGAGATAAATGACAAATAAAACAGTTATCAACCATCGCAAGGGCAGAGTGGATCTTACATGGGCAACTGGCTGCACGTAGACAAGCTGCTGCCCAACCGTCCAACCATAAGCTGTAGAAACAGAAGGGATGTACTTGAATGAATTGAAAAAACAGCGAACTGTACAAAAGCATCTAGTGAGTAAATATTCAATTATTAATTTTGGTACATTTATCAAGAAAAGGAACGTCGTGCTAGAGGAGATTTGCATTTTACTTACGGGTGGAGAATTTGGAGGCACATATGCAGGTCCAGTAGGTATAGTGTGATACTGACCAGCATATCTAAGTGGTGGAGTCCGGCTTCCCATGTGACCAACAATCTGTCAAGATAGAAGTTCTGCAATTAGCACAAAACCCTCCAAACATTGGATCATATATATGCACTAATACCACAGATTCTATGATGAAGCCTACCCTCTTGTGGTTCAAATAACATGTACCTAAGTAGCCCATTTTTCACGAAAATTTAAGTTGTTTTTTTCTAAACACCCCCTTCTCTTATTCAGTTTGAGTAATACATAACCAATTTATGCATTACTCATACATAAACATAGGTATTTTACACTGAGCTAGTTCAACTTAAGAGGTGCATCCCAGATCAAGAGAAATGAATGGAGTAATCTTAGAACTTGAAGGTTCTACTTGAAGGTTCTGAGAACTTGAGATGTAACATGTCTGAGAAAAAGAACAGCAAGAGAAATGAATGGAACATACAGGCTGTAAAAATTGTGAGTTGTTGCCCCCATTTCCAACTATCAAGTTAGTATATGGAGTAATCTTAGCAGGTGCAAAAGGGCCAATGTTGACTTCAGGTTGAGGAGCAGGAATAGGTAATATGGGGGAGCTGCTTGGCATGTAAGCCATTCCACCAAGTGTCGGTACTGCTGGAGAAGGTGCTGTCACAGAACTCGCAAAAGAGGGACAAAAAACCTTGGCACCAGGATTGAGCTTGAACTCCTAAATACCAATAATGGATAACATACTCAATCAGAAATCATATGATTATCAGCTCTATTAGAAGAATGCTAATTAAAAATGAAGTGCACGATTATACCATGCCCCAATAATATATATTACTTGCTTGCTTTCAATATAGAATGGGCGCAAAAAAAATAAATTTAATGCTTTAATCATTGCGCTATGGGTTATCAATACTTACCTTAGAGCTTTTATTGGATTCTGAACTTTGCGGAGATGGTGCATTAGAAGATGTCGTTAAGGAATTATGCTGTGACACAGGATCTGAAGCACCTTGAAGAAGTGCCACTAGCAGAGGTGGAATCTGCAGATGCAGGCCTATCACAGATCCATTGGCTGGCTTACCAAGTCCAGGAGATGTCTGCCAGCATTATTTGACAAGAGTCTCAAAGATTCGCAGAAATATCATACATGAATGCTTTAAAAGGCAACTTATCCACTACTATGCAGAACAAATGAAGCAGTTCTCTTAACCATGAAATAATAAACAACAATAATATCATGGGAGAAGGATGGCTTAGGATGATAACAATTTCCGGATCAAGGAAGGCCACCAAATCCATGTTTTAGTTGTTGGCAGTGACCATTAAGTAATATCCAAAGAAAACATATGAGTGTTTTCTTTAACACTTCAAGTTTGAGATTTTTTTCTCTTTTGGTTAAGGAGACTTATATTTCCTTTTTATTATTAGGTGTTATTTAAGGAATTCAAACCCGAGACCTTCAAATCTAAGACTAGTGGTAGTATCATTAGAACAAGCCCTTGTTCGCGAGTATGAGATCATTAATCGCATGTATCATACATGACATACATATATTATGACATGTAATTTATAAAATATCTTAGAGTTTCTTGTAAGGGTTCAACACAAGGTAATTGTGGAGTGGTCCGTGTCCTGGTAGGAGTTGTCAATCTCCCATGTTCTTTCCTTTATTTGGCCGACAAGGAAAGGTCTCTGCTGATGTCTTCCTTTTGTATAAATAGCAAGATAGAATTGCTAAGTCAGTTGTCAATCATCAATAATAAGTCATAGTCGAGAGCTCTTTCAAACTCTTCGTGGAATAGTCCTGTTCACATCGAACATGGATACCACGTAAAATTCTCGGTGTTGTGTGATTGTTTTCTATTCCGTGTTGTTGATTTTAACATGGTATCAGAGCCACGGCTTTGAGAGATCCAAGTTCTGTGTTCTGTCGAGTTCTCTCTTCTCAAATCGGCTGTCTCTTCTAGGGTTTCGTCTCCATGGCTGGCGAGACGAAGGAATCCAGTGGCTCTTCTAGAGTCATGAAGAACGCACCAGAGCCTTCTTCACCGCATTTCTTACACCCGTCTGATTAACTAGGTAATGTCTTCGTGGATGAGTTACTCACCGAGCTAAATTATGACGAATGGAAAGCTAATATGTGTCAAGCGCTCTTAGCAAAGAACAAATTGGGATTTGTCACAGGCAAACTCGTCAAGGTTGAAGCTGATTGGCATCAAGATGCATGTGAACGTTGTAACGCCATGGTCATGGGATGTCTAAAGAACTCAATGTCTCGTGAGGTTCGCCAGAGCGTGCGGTTTGCTGCAACCGCACAACAAATATGGTCTAATCTCAAAGAGCGTTTTGGCATGGGGAGTATGGCGCGCCTATATCAACTTCGTCGATCCATAGCTCTTCATCAACAAGAAAAGGCAAGTGTGTCTGCCTTCTACACTAATCTTCGCAGCCTTTGGGACGAAATTCAAGCAATCTTCGTCGTCCAAATGTCAAGGCGGCAGCACTACAGGCTCAGGGAAACCCCTCCTCTAAGCTCCAGGGGGAGTCCCCTTTACCGACGAATCGCACTGCGGATGGTAGGCCATGGTGTACTCACAGTGAGAAGGCAGGGCACTACAAAGAAACCTGCTATGAGATAATTGGTTGGCCGAGTGAATCTGATGGGAGTAGGAATCAATCCACTGATCGTGGAGAACGTGGAAGGCATGATCGTGGACGTGGCAACCGGTCTGGATCCCCACGAGCTGCTCAGGTAAACTCTAGCGAGAGCAGTATCCAAGGCCTTACCGCGGCCCAGCTCGCGCAACTAAAAGCCTTCCTAACTGCAGAAACAAAGCTTCCAGCAACTCTCACCGTCAACATGGCAGGTACGGTCTCTCCCACTCTCGATTTCAATCAAAATTCATGGTTTATTGATTCTGGGTGTAATGAACATATTTCTAAGGATATTTCCTTGTTTTTGAATGAGCTCGAGACGAGCAATGGTCTACAGGTTAAGATATCCAACGGAAAGGGTGTTCCGGTCAAGGATATAGGAAAGACCAAGTTGGATAATGGTCTTATACTTAATCATGTCTTGCACGTACCTGACTTCAAGTGCAATCTTCTATTTGTCAGTCATCTAACAGCAATCCACTGATAGCGCTAGTTTTCATCAAGGACTTTTGTGTAATTTAGGACTTACACTCCAGGAAGCTGATTGGAACGGGGATTCATGTTGATGGACTTTACCACTTGAGTTTACCACAAGGAGATCATCATGTAGCCCTCTCTGCGAGTCAAGTATGTCAGAACACCAGGTGATGGCATTCACAACTAGGCCACCTGTCTTTTGAGAAAGTGTCAATTTTAGCACCTTTACTTCGGAGTCCCATTGTTCGTAGTAGTGATCATTGTGGATCTTGTCTAAGGGCAAAGAAAACCTGTCTTCCTTTCGAGAGCAATAGCATCAAAACTTCTTCTTGTTTTGAGTTAATCCATGTCAACATTTGGGGCAGTTACAGTCAAGTTTCGCTCACGGGTGCACATTATTTTCTCACTATCGTGGATGATTATAGTCGGTGTGTTTGGATTTATCTCTTGAAATATAAGTCAGAGGCAGCTCAATACCTTCTTCTTTTTTGCAACCAAGTCACTATGCAGTATAAGAAGAAGGTACGCAGGATACAGGCAGATAATGGTCTCGAGTTCAATTCGTCACAGTTGTGGGATTATTATGAGGAACACGGGATAATTCTCCAAACTTCTTGCACTAACACTCCCCTGCAGAATGGAGTAGTTGAGCGCAAACATCGTCATCTTCTTGATACTACTAAAGCTCTCATGTTTCACGCAGGGTTGCCTACACGTTTTTGGGGTGAATGTGTTCTAACTGCTGCTTATCTCATCAACCGTATGCGGCGACTGAGTTCTGTCCAAAACCGCACCCCGTACGAGTTGTTGTTGGATTCGGCACCCACCTACTCGCACCTCAGAAGCTTTGGTTGTCTGTCTAGTGTATACTAAAGACAACCATCATGGTCTGCGCAAATTTGACGAGCGGGGACGTGCAAGCATCTTTGTTGGTTATCCGGCCACGCAAAGTGGATATCGTGTTTATGATCTCAATGACAAAGTTATCTATACATCACGAGATGTGACCTTACTAGAGGATGTATTTCCCTTCCGTGCACTATCATCTTCAATCGGGAAAGGGGGAGAATCACCCTTGCATGGCTCACGAAGGAGATAGGAGATGACCATCACGTCATCAAAAAAGTTCATTATGAGGAGCCGGATAGTGTAAATACCTGTTCCAGAAAATTCCAGTCCTTTGCAGGACACCGAGATGACAGAGAATGACAATTTTACGTCATCAAATTTGCCCGGGTCATCATCAAACTCGCCTGGGCCGTTATTGGAGTCATCACTCACACAAGAGGTGCTTCAATCGACTGAGGAAACTATTCCATCAGCAGCTGCGGGCTCGCCTCCTTCGAACCAGCCGCAACGAAAGAGCATCTGACAGCCCAAGCAATCTCATCGCCTAGTAGGTTATGATGTCAACTTGACAGCTTCTCTCTCACACCCATCGGCTAGCTCGGTCAAGTATCCAATCAAGAAACATGTCTCTTACTCTCGTCTGTCTCACAACTACAAGGCTTATCTTGCTCACACAAATGTCGTTCTAGAGCCTCGTCACTTCTCGCGGGCAGTCTTGTACAAGGAATGGAAGGATGCCATGCAGAAGGAAATCACAGCTCTTGAAGCTAACATGACATGTAGTCTAGTTCCGTTGCCGCCTGGAAAACGTGCAATTGGTTCAAAATGGGTTTATAAAGTGAAGTATTTACCATATGGATCAATTGAACGTTTCAAGGCACGACTTGTAGCAAAGGGATATATGTAGATTGAATGAATCGATTACCACGATACATTTGCTTCGGTAGCAAAATTAGTCACTATCTGTTGTCTACTTGCTGTAGCCGTCAACCAAGATTGGACCATCCACCAACTTGATGTTAACAATGCTTTTCTCCATGGAGATCTGCACGAGGAAGTCTACATGAAGGTTCCCCAAGGATTTTCTAAAAAGGGTGACACGAGGGTTTGTCGCTTGCATAAGTCCATCTATGGGCTTAAACAAGCTTCTCGCAATTGGTACGAGAAGTTTTCTGCGACATTACTGGAGTTGCAGTTTCGTCAGAGTCGAGTAGATCACTCGTTATTCATCTATCGGTCAGGGTCGTCATTCGTCACTGCCTCGATATATGTGGACGATGTCATTCTTGCATAAAATGATCCCAGTTTTATACAAAAAGTCCAATATTTCCTGCATGATCGCTTCACAATCAAGGATTTGGGTCCCTTGAGGTATTTCCTGGGAATCGAAGTGGCAAGGTCACTGAAGGGGATAGTTCTCAATCAACGCATGTATGTACTAGACATACTCGCTAACATTGGGTACAAAGGAACTCGACCTTGTTCCTCCTCAATCGAGCAGAACCATCAACTTGGAAGGGATTCTTCTTCTCCATTCGCTGATCCTTATGCATTTTGGTGCCTTGTGGGTTGGTTTCTATATCTCATTATAACCAGACCAGACATTACCTACCCGGTCAACCTACTCAGTCAAGCTGTGCATGCACCTATGCAGGCGCACCTGGATGCCGCTCATCACACCTTCGTTACCTGAAGCAGTCCCCCTGGACGTGGTCTTTTCCTTCGCGTGGACAGCTCAATGGAACTCGTAGCACACTATGACACCAACTGGGCAGGTTGTCCCCTGACACGTCGTTCTACCACAAGGTATTTCATTCAGCTGGGTGGTTCTCCAATCTCATGGCGCACGAAGAAACAGTTTATTGTGGCACGGTCTTCAGCAGAAGCTGAGTATCGAGCGATGGCTAGCACTGTCAGTGAGTTATTCTGGCTTCATTGGCTTTTGTCAGATTTGGGTGTTACTCAAACTCAACCTACTCGTCTATACTGTGATAATCAAGCAGCACTTCACATAGCCGCTAATCTAGTATTTCATGAACGCACTAAGCATGTGGAGATGGACTGCTACTTTGTTCGTGAATGGGTTCTTTCCCGTGACATTGCAACTCTTAAGATCGCATCCGCAGAGTAGCTAGCGGATCTCTTTACCAAAGGTCTCAGTGTCGATCAGTTTAACTACCTCTTGTCCAAGCTCGGCATGATTGATATCCATGCTCTCGCTTAAGGGGGAGTGTAGAATGTTTCTTTGTCAATGTAATAGGACCATAGGGTAATTTTGGAGTGGTTTGTGCCCTAGTAGGATTGTCAATATCCCATGTTCTTTCCTTTACTTGGCTGACAAGGAAAGGTCTTGGCTGCTGTCTTCCTTTTGTATAAATAGCAAGCTAGACTTTCTAAGTCAGTTGTCAATCATCAATAATAAGCCATAGTCGAGAGTTCTTTCAAACTCTCTGTGGATTAGTCATGTTCACATCGAACAGGGATACCACGTAATATTCTCGGTGTTGTGTGATTGTTTTCTATTACGTGTAACACTGTGAGTAGTCACGAAGTACTTGCTGAGGTTTTCACTGCGTGAAGTTGTGCGAGCTTTTGGCAATGGTGGTCGACGTTTGTGTTTATGCTTAACGGGGGAATTTAATAACAGGTAGTGGAGAATTTACACAAGGAGAGGTGAGGCCCTAAGGATGGAGTCGGGAGCATTATAATCTCCCCAACTAGGGACTTGGCAGGTCAGCTATTCGAAGTTTTGAAAATTTCTTGGGAATTTTCACAACTTCAGTGTTGGGTTGTTGATTGGTGGCCGGAAGGATGTTAAGATGGAGAAGGAGCGTGTTAATGAGCTGAACATACTTGTTTGTACCCCTGGTCGGCTTGTTCAGACATGGACGAGACGCCCAACTTCGAGTGTTCTCAACTTCATGTCAGTTCACTGCACTTGGTTAAGGAGTGGAATTTTTTAGAAAATTTTGATGGCACGATGGATGGTTGCATCATTTTTAAGTTTACTGTACAATTAGCTTCCCAATCCCTGCTCCTTCATAGGAGATTCAGTTTTCACATGATCAATGTGATGCTTATTAAGTATATTCTTACTGGGTTTCTACTATGTTAAGTTGGATGAATAGTGCTGGTGCAATTCTTTTTGTTTGGTTATTACTTCAGTATTAAGTGTTGTCTACCAATCAAAGTTTTGCATGTAGCATTTACTGTTTACTGTGTGCTTAGTGTTGTTGAGTGTTCTTGTTGATAGATCATGTCATGTTTAGTTGATTTGAGTATAATTATCCTGGTTTGGGAAATAGATTTTGGTCTTGGACGAGGCAGATTGTATTCTCGACGTGGTTTCAAGAAATCTTTGAACGCGATTGTTTCACAGCTTCTTAAGCATAGGCAAACTTTGCTTTTCTCTGCTACGCAAACAAAGTTTGTACATGATATTACAAGGCTCAGTTTGAAGGACCCAGAGTACATTAGTGTTCATGAGAAGGCCGAGATTGCTACTCCTAGTTGTTTGCAGCAGGCAGCTATGATTGTTCCTCTGCACCAAAAGTTGGATATGTTATGGATTTTGTTAAGGCACATCTTAACTCCAAAATACTCGTGTTTCTTTCTACCTGTAAACAGGTATAGTTTTAGACTCTGCTATGTTTTTGGCCTATAGACACGCATCATATAATTGGAGTATTTTTTTCCTCCACTGCCTGAAAGTTTGTCCTGCCGTTGATAATTTCCTTGATTTTAGGTGATTTTTTTTGTTGTTGAAGCATTTAAGAAGTGGAGGCCCGGAATTTCGCTAAAATGCCTTCACGGGAGGATGAAGCAGGAGAGAAGGATAAATATTTATTCCCAATTATGTGAACAACGTTTTGTTCTCGTTTCCACTGATGTGGCTGCTAGAGGTCTTGACTTCAACAAAGTAGTTGACTGGGTTGTCCAAGTGAGGTAGATTTGAGATCTCTGACAATAATAGTGCTTTTATCTCAGAAGATTTTACATTGTTTTTCAGGTAGATTGTCCAGAAGATGTTGCATCCTATATACACAGACTTGGTCTGTCAGGAGGGAGATTTGTTATGTTTTTTTATGCCAACAGAAATGAAAATGCTTGAGAAGTTGAAAGCAACCAAAGTTCCCATAGAATTTATAAAGGTCAGCAGACTCTTTGTGCAATTTTGCTGATTTTGTTTGCAATATGATCAAATGCTAAAATGTACAGATATTTTTTTATATTACGTAACACAATTTCATGGTTTATCAAATTTTCAAGCAAACATGAAAAGGATACAACCAATGTATGGACTGCTTTCAGCTTTGTTGGTGAAGCATTTTGAACTGCAAGAGCTTGTTGTAAAGGCGTTCATAAGATACATGCAATGTATACATATTCAGAAGGAAAAAGACGCATTTGATGTGTTGCAATTACCCATTGATGAATTTGCAGCTTCAATGGGTCTGGCTCTCACCCCTAATATTCGTTTTGTAAACTGAGAGGCAAAAAGCTGCCGCCTAGTGAATCTTATGTCCTTGAATTGGAAGCTTCTAGCAAGGAGCCTCTAGTAGAGGTAAAGGGAACACAGGCAAAAACCAGCAAGTTAAGAGAGGAAAACTTTGACTTACCAGCAGAGTTACTGAATCCAAATGACTCTCAGGATGAGGATGTGGAAAAAATCTCCTTTTATCTAAGCATACCCAAAATGAGGGCATTGAGAAAGCAGTGGAAGTTGGAGATGCAATGTAATTCATTTAACTCCTTACTCTTTGTCCCTTTTTATCTGCTATTTTTTGGAGTGCGATGAAGCTACGTTTGCTCCACTCAAAGTCTGGACTTGATCTCTATGGCTATTGTGCAAACTTCGACTTACGGTTTGTCTTACGTTTCCTCTGGATATTGTGCAAACTTCCACCCCGTATTTCTAAGAAGAAAAAATTGAAGATCAACATTCACAGACCAGTCGGAACAAGGGTTGTCTTTGATGATCAAGGGAATACGCTGCCTCCACTATGTATGGTGGCTGGAGCAAACAACGATGATGGTTTGTCTTTGTTTGAAAAAGGTAAATACTTTCTCATTAACTAGTCACTATGTGTAGTCCTGAATGAACCCACTTTAACTAGGTGACGACTTGTCGTTCTCGCTAGACTGTCACTCGCATGGCAGCTTATCCTTCAATAGTAACTTATATAATATCATAATAGCAAACTGGCTTGGGGTAGTGCTTTTTGAAAGTGGTTCCATTACTCATTATCTTTCTCCTTGTGCAGACAAGAGGGACGGGTATTACAAAAATATAAGGGAACAACTGATGAAAGCGGACAAGGTAGACAAGGTTCTTGACCATCAACGTCGGAGGGATAAGGGTATTAAGGAGAAAATGAAGTGGAAGAGAGTTGGGGACGAAGAAGAAGGTAGTGATAAGGATATTTTTGGGTCAGGAGGGGACGAAGGAACAAATGGAAGGAAACCAAAAAGATGGAAGATCTACTTCAATAGTGATAGTGATGATGATGGTGAAACTAGAGGAAAGAAAGAAATGTAGTAGACGACTCCATTTCCCTAGCAGAGCAAGAAGCTCTGGCACTGAAGTTGTTGAACTCCATGCACCAATGACAGTAGATTTTGCAACTCTGGTTAAGATGTAGCTGGCAATTTTGTCTAAGGAAGCCTGCACTATCTTTGCTCATTCTTTCCGTCCGTCAATGGCATAGTTAACAAGAAAAATTCGCTTTGTTTCTCATTTTGACTTGTTTACTATTATGCTTATGAAATACCTCCGGATTAGTGAAGGCAGACTAATAACACTAGAGGAACTTACAGTCAATCGGCTACATAAATGTTTGTCTATGAGTTTGAAAGGATAAGTGTCAGGATATTAATACGGTAAGTTCAATCCCAAAGGACTGGTCTAAGCCTCAGCTGGGGAAGTTCCAAAATTTGTAAACTTTATATCCCTCATAGTTTGAATAGTGAGGTCCCAACTTTTTTCATGTGAAATGTTAGGTTACGATGAAGAAATGTAATCTATAAGACCTTTTCTTCTAGTAGGAAGATTTCGGTTTTCACGTTTTGATATAACTTCTTTGTCAAAACTAGAGGGGAAGCGACCTTCTACTAAATTCCTAGTTTTTGCGTAAGTTGTCTTTTTCTATGCAAGTACACTTAGAAAGAAGAAAGAAGGTTGGATTCAAAAAAGTATGCTTAAAATGTTCCTTCATTGAGCTTAATAGAATGAAGAGACTTCAGCACTATGATAATGATTGTTTCTCGATATCGAATCATCATTCCACATCTTGTTTGTAGTTTGACATCTGGCAATAAAAAACTCGTTACTCCATCAAAGTGACAAGCTGAGAAACCACCAGGATTACCAATTTGTACGAAGTACGAAGACATCCCAAGGCATGCATTGATACAGTTAAACAGAAATCCACAAAGCATAAAGTCAATAAACCTTTAGGGACACTACACAACCTCCACCAATAAAACTCATGCTTATGAAGTACCTCCAATGATTAGTGAAGGGCTGAAGGCAGACTAATAACACTAAAGGAACTTACAGTCAATCACCTACATAAATTGTTGTCTATGAGTTTGAAAGGATAAGTGTCGGGATATTAATACGATAAGTTCAATCCCAAAGGACTGGTCTAAGCCTCAACTAGGGAAGTACCAAAATTTTTAAACTTTATATCCCTCGTAGTTTGAATAGTGAGGTCCCAACTTTTTTTATGTGAAATGTTAGGTTACGATGAAGAAATGTAATCTATAAGACTTCTTTTTCTAGTAGGAAGATTTCGGTTTTTCACGTTTTGATATAACTTATTTGTCAAAACTAGGAGGGGAAGCGACCTACTACTAAATTCCTAGTTTTTGCGTAAGTTGCCTTTTTCTATGCAAGAACACTTAGAAAGAAGAAAGAACTTCGGATTCAAAAAAGTATGCTTAAACCGTTCCTTCACTGAGCTTAACAGAATGAAGAGACTTCAGCACAATGATAATGATTGTTTCTTGATATCAAATCATCATTCCACATCTTGTTTGTAGTTTGACATTTGGCAATAAAAAACTCGCTACTCCATCGAAGTGACAAGCTGAGAAACCACCAGTATTACCAATTTCTACGGAGTAAGAAGACATCCAAAGGCATGCATTGATATAGTTAAACAGAAATCCACAAAGCATAAAGTCAATAATCCTTTAGGGACGGTACACAACCTCCACCAATAAAACAAATGTTGACGTAAGCGATTTACTAATGGGCATTGGAACCTTCCTCCTACCTGTTATTTGCTTCCTAACTATGAACTCATACAGTCATACTATAGACCCCACACATCCCACTTAATCTATTACATCGATTTATCATACTCTCTCAACCAGGTCATCAAAAGAAGATACTAAAAAAAAACTTTCCAAAGTGAGAGAAGGAGAAGGAGAAGGAGAATGAGAGATAGGTCAAGATTAGAATGAAGTGATCGCTAGAATGTCATTTGCTAAAAATATTATACACACTTTAAAAAAAATATGACGAATCGGTTGAAATTACCTTCCATGTAACGAAGCCCATCCAGGGTTGGATCCGATGCTTAAGCCATTTTTATTGGTTGATAGTAGATTAGGTAGTTAATGAGGGTTAGTAGTGAATACGTAGTTGAGGGTAAATGGAGTATTATGCAAATATAATTATAATTAATAATTAATAATTTTATTTCTCCCTCCTCTGTAACCTTATCCATAAGACCATAACCCTCTCTCTACTACAATTAAAAGGAAATTCAAAATTGATTAAATTATATATTATTATTTAATATTTAATAAATTTGAACTTAATATTTTTTCTTTCTTAAAATGAAAATTAAAAATACGCGCTCTCTCTAACATCATGACAACTTGCAATGTACTATTAACGTTTTCGAATGACATTATCAATGTTTATGAAATGAATCATTATTATTATATCTTATCATTATTAACTATTTCAATATACTTATCAAATATTTACAATTATATTATTAACCATTTTGAATCAATTGTTACCGTTTTACATTTTTGTCATACACTCTTATAAATGAATCATTAAAGTTATGTAACATTGTCATTAACAGTTTGAATACAATATCATTGATTTACAAAATCTTTACTAATGTTCACAATTTCACGTCATGTTTATAACTATCTAGTTATGGCTTCTTCCACTGACTTCTAATGGCATTGTTAATATTTTAGGATAAATTGATATTGCTTTACATTATCATTCTCAATGATCATAAAATACAATATTGATTTTCAACATCTTCGACAGTTGTGACATAGTGTGATTCAGTCAAGCAAACATTAGTAAAGAAAATATTAGGGTTAATTGCATGGTTGGTCACTGAGATTACAAAAACCGTTCAAGTTTGGTCACTCTTCGTCAAACTTCGTTAACTTTTAATTACGTGGCGTTAAACTCTAAAAGTTGACCATTAAATGTGTGACGTGGCAATTTAAAAATAGTAAAATTCACATTTTTAAAATTGGCATCTCATTTCCACCTCATTATCTCCTTTATTTACAATAAATAGAAAACTCTAATTTCTTCTAATCCCCAATACCAATACTCCCGCCGGCAGCAAACCCCTGCCGTCGCTGGCGCTTTCATTGTTGGGCCTCCTTCCCATAAGAACAAAAATCTCGCATGCGGAAGAAAGGCTCATCGGTATCAATTCCCAGCTCTTCCAGGAGTCTGAAATTCCTCGGCACTTCAGCAAAACAACAAATTATTACAAGTTCAATGAAAAGCATGTCTGTTTATCAGCAAATCCACATGATTATCGTCCTATGAATCATGTGATTGAACTGATGACAATATGATCGCCACAAAAAGGCTAAATATTGATGCCATCATAGGAGGGACAGAGAAACAGATTCAGTCATCAAAACCTTCATCTAACCAAACAAATCAGAACAATTACAGGAACACGCTTGGTCACTTGAAGATGACATTAACCACAAAGAACTGAGATCAGAGAAGTATCAGACTCTCGCACAACTTTAAGAGTACCCATCATATAGTTCAGCGTTAAGAGTTAACACTTGGCTCCCAAAAGAAGCTTGCGCTAAAAAATTTGGACCTGTCACGATCTAGCTCCGATTCGAGAGCATCGTCTTGGTGGAGTCGCCGACGAGCACGCGGTGGAAAAGGGCCAGTAAGGAGATGACAAACGTCGTAAGGGTCGATTGAGAGAGAGTTCCATTTGACGAGGGCATTTGCGGAGTTGGTGAACTCTACCATGGTATCGTCGTCGAAGAGCAGGGCGTGGCGGCCAACAACTTCAAGATAGGGTCGCTGATTGATGCAGAGGAGAAACCCTAACTTTTTTTTGGTTTTGAAGAGCTGGATATTGAACTTGCAATAATTTGCTATTTTCTGCAGTGTCGAGGAATTTCAGAGTCCTGGAAGAGCTGGTAATTGATACCGATGAGCCTTTCTTCCGGCATGCGAGATTTTCGGTCCTGTGGGAAGGAAGCCCAACAATGGAAGTGGCAGCGACGGCGGAGATATGTTGTCGGCGAGGTATTGGTATTGGGGATTAGAAGAAATTAGTTTTTTATTTATTTTAAATAAAAGTGATAATGAGGTGGAAATAAGATGACAATTTAAAAAAAATTAATTTTATCATTTTTATTATTTTAAATTGCCACGTCACACATTTAACGGTCAACTTTTAGAATTGACAGACACATAAGCAAAAGTTAACGGAGTTGGATGGAGAGTGACCAAACGTGAACGATTTCAGTAAACTGAAGTACCACCAATGGATTTAAATATTTTGAGTGATCAAACTTGAACATTTTCTGTAATCTTAGTGACCAACCATGAAATTAACCCAAAAATATTAGTTCAAGCAAACCAACATTCACACCTCATCATCAACCCGAAGAGGGGTAATCGAATAACAACTCCACAAAGGGAGACAATCGGTCCAAATCTGGTCAAAGAGAAGGGATATTCATCATGAAAAGACCCTCTGATATGGAACCCTAGCGGGGAGAGGGGAAGGTTTCCTTGCAGCCCGACGAGAGCATCGAGAAGGCTTTTTTGTATTGATTTTCAGGTACAAATCAATAAGTTTTATATTAATTAGGGTATTAAGTTAAAATTCAAATAAATAAATTATGTAATTTACCTCAATACCCTTAACTGGCTATTAATTACTAACTTCTTATTAATCTCCTAATTTCTTTTTAGCTAATAAGAAGGGCTTAAGCACAAGAATCGATCCCAGCCCATCAAAGTTGTATCTGACCAGCCCAACCCATATCTGGAAACTGAAAATACCCGCCAACCGTAATTTTTTCCTTTTACAATTTCAGGCCTAATCCCTTGTGGGCACTAGGTTGTGGCCTTGTCCTTTCCCTCCAATAATGTCCCCTGCCTCCGCCTCCACCTCCACCCTTCACCTTCAGTAGCCCTCTCTCCTGCTATTGTAGTCAACCTATCACTGTCCTTCCTTCTGTAAGCCAAACAGCAAAAACCTAATGCCTTGTTCACTTCCCATTTCGTTTTATGTTTTCTGTTTAAAAAATGAAAATCAAGAAACAAATGACAAAAAACGTGTCACTTGTCCATTTGGTTTTCGCTAAAAAAAACTAATTATTACAAATGAGAAAAGTAGTGGGTAAACAATAAATAGTCGTTTTCTGAAAATAACGGGATGAGTTAGGCCTAGGATAGAGTCAGTAACCAATGATTACTGACTTGCCAGTAATTAAATCTAGATCATAGATCTAGGGATGGAATTATCATATGGCTGGGCTGCACGAGGAGTGAGGAGGGGCATTTTTGTCTGATTTTTGAAATTTGATTTCTTTCTTTTTTTATTTTTTCCAGCATTTATATGTTTGTCTTTTAATGGAGGAAAGAGAAAAGCAGACTTCTCTCTTCCTCTCTCTTTTCTCTTTCTCTTTTCCAAACTCATTTTTCCAGATCTAAATCTTCTTTCTTCTCTTGTTCTTCATTTTTTTCTCCAACAATCGATGAAGAAATTGCAGCCTCCCACCTCAAATTCGGTGACACTCCAAATCCTTCTTCTCTCAAGCTGCTCCTTGGGATTTTTTCAATAATAGCACCTTTTAAAAAAAATTACAAAAATAGCACAGTTCCGAAAAAATTTACACTAATAGCACCTTTTTTTATGGACCGCACCTCTAAGGTGCGGTTTGCACCACGTCATAATGGGAACCGCACCTCGAAGGTGCGTTCTGTATTTGGTGGGCAGCGGCCTTGCAGACCGCAGGATTGTGTGGCGATCTAGCGGGCAGGAGCAATGCCACCTCAGCGATCCGCATCGTGGATCGCAGAATGCAGCGAGGAGGAGCGGTTTGGCGCCTTGAATCACGGAACGCATTGTTCCAGAGCAGTCAGCGCCTCGGGACGCGGAGACCGCATCGGAAGGGTGCGTTTTCTCCTCTGTCAAAATTACCAGACCGCCCCTGGAGGGTGCGGTCTGTTGGGTATAAATACCCCCCTTCCCCTCTCATTTCTTCACACCACAACTCATTCTTCCTTCTCTCTCTAGAATTTATCTCTCTAAACCCTCCCCTCCCAAAAGCCTAGGAAATAGTGGTCTGTTGGTTGCGGCTAAGTCCGATCTGCCATCAGAAAACATTTCTTAGGTTTTTTCCTCAAAACCCGCCGAGCCGAATCTATGTCCGAAATTTGGTTTTTTCCTCCAAATCCGCCGACCCGAACCTCTGTCCGAATTTCCCAAAAAAATGGCCGATTGGTGGAAAGTTTGTTGGACCTCAAGAATTCGAGTATGACATCTACCTCATCCTGAGTGGTTATGAGATATTCCTCATGCCACAATGACCCACTTTCTCTGTTTGGATATCGGTACACGATACGATCAACTCTTCTCGTGCCATCCATGCAAGTAATGTTAGTGCACATTTGATGGAGGTCTTCAAGCAGCGGTCTGGTAGCGACCTTTATCTTCTGAAAATTGCCACCGACGTAGGTGACCCCCTTTCCGGTCTCTTACGTGTAACCATTCCACCGTAAGCCAAGCGTGAACGGTTGGAATGCCATATGCGAAAAAACCGTAGTTCAGTTAATATCATAAAAATCAAAAATAAAAAATAACAATAAAAAGTAATACAAAATAAACTTACGAGTTAACGTTAATCGCAAAACTACTAAAGAAATATAGAGCTACAACAGAAAATTGAAAAGGGAGAAGGAGAGGTGTGAAGAGAAATGGTTTTCCGGGAAGTCTTTTATAGGCAAAATCACTGATGAAAACCGCACCTTACATGCAGACCCACGTCTGTTATTCTGCATGGCATGTCGGAAATTAATTGACCAAAACCGCACCTTGGGGGTGCGGTTTATATGGTAAAACCGCACCTTGGGGGTGTGGTTTTGTTTGGGAGAAACAAACCGCACCTTCATGGTGCGGTTTTGATAGGTCAGGCCAAAATCGCACCTCAGCCAAGCGGTT